TCCACGTTAATATTATATAGGCATATGTAATTCTGAACAAGAGTAATCGTTTAAAAACGTGTACGAAGGGGTTACATAAGCACATAACAATAAATTATACTCAAAATATTCAGTAAAAATAAAATTATCACCTACAAAATCAATAATAATATCCTTAGAAGCAATGTGTCAGAACTTTTTGTGGGAAGAAACATATATAGCAAGGATTGAATCAACTCTTGAGAGCTTGGAAAAGACTCACTTTTCCAACTCGTGAAAATGGATTGGGTATTCGGAAATTCCAAGATATCATCAATGCTTTTTCCGTAAAGCTCTGGTTGAAACTAAGGAATAAAATGGGAATCTGGGCTAAGTTCATCCAATTTTTATCTTAGACCTTAAAAAAATGCACCTGCTGGAAATGCATAGAAAATATAATAAAGTAGAACACATTGCTACGGAGCACACATCACTTATCATTGGTAATAGGTCAAATTCTTTTTGTCAAAATGTTTGGATTGGCCCTGAGATATCTCAAGTTGTAAGTCCTGGTGATATTCGGCTATACAAGCATCTCTCAATCAAGGAATCTTTTGATTCAAAAGAACACTATATGGGTGAGTTCGGTGATTTGTTGTCACCTGCAATAAAGCTCACTCTTGAAATACTTGCTTTAATCTTACTGATGAAGAACATGAATTAATCTGGATGATGAATTCGTTGATAAACTTTATGATTTCATCAGCTTATCAGGTGATCAGGGGTCTCAAACTCTATCTTTTTCTCGAGTTATTCGACCTAAGCTACTACCTCTGAAAATTTCGTTCTTTTTTTTTGCATGGTAATTATTAAACAAGTTGCTTCCTTTTGCATACTCATTTAGAAAAATAGGTTTTTTGATGAGAATCATGTAGCCTTCCATGGAGGTTCTCCTAGTGAGGGGAATGAGTTAGTCCTTCATTCTAGATTTGGAATGCCAAGTTTACTTTGCAGGCCAATCAAGGAAGAAAGGATGGATCTTGACTACCGATGTGATAGGGAGTTGGTTCAAGAGAGCTATGATCAAGGTGATGAGAATGTCATTAACTTTGGGGTGCAAACCAAAGGAGATGAAGACCTCATGGAAATAAGTGCTGAAGAGTATCAAGAGAGTTTGACTCTGTGTGCTCCATGAAGATCATTGATCAAAGCTAGTGAGAAGAGTCATTTAGGTTCATGAGTGGACGGCCTATTTGATCCAAGTGTTCAAGATTGAGTCCATTGCTACACAATTGGATAGGGTGCAAACTATCTTAATTGTTTCAAGTGTTTTTCCATTCTTTTGGAGTCAATAAGGTGAATTCTACAAGTTTTGGAGTAAATTGGGGGTTTCTACAACTTAAGGGGCGCAAGACCAATATTCCACTTTTGGAAGGGCGTTCAAGACATTTTACTTCAATAATTTGGAGCTGAATTTCGAGATTAGAGTTAGTCTAAGTCTAGGAGTCAATTTTTTCGAATTTTATCTAGTTAAATAAGTCATGTAGACTGAATTAAGCTAGAGTGTTTTGATTAGGAGTCTTAGATTCCTTCTAGATATTATCCTACTTGAGGATAAGTGATTTAGATAAGGTTTCCTAGATTTTAGATAGAGTCAAAGAGATCAAGTACACTTCTACTTTTACTCCTTGTGAGATAAGATTAGAGAGTCCTAATTGGTCTTCTTTTTAGAGGTGCTGGCCGAAAAATTCAAGCCTATATATAGGAGGCTTGGCCGAATTTTAGAAGCACCCTTGAGTGGTCATTTTTGTTGTCTCTTTTGAGAGTTTTTCCTGTGAGGAATTTTTGTTAAATGGAGTGTCCATTTTTCGTGTCAAGTATGTTTAAACCAAGAGGGTTTTCATCTTGTCTTGGATCTTGTTGATCTTACAGAAACCATTCTTTTTCAAGTATGCTTCTTGATAGAATTGTTTTAAAACTAAACTTCTTGTTTTCATACTACTTCTAGTAGTTCGATTGATGAGCCTTTCCTTTGGCTTGGTGTTCGAATTTCATGATGAGTGTGTTCATGAGATCCATTGTGGGGTTTGTCCTACTTTTGTTGGGATGAGTTGTGCTTTGGCATAAGCATTTTGAGATAGTGTATGTGTTGCATATCTTTGGTTGGTTATGAAGATTACTAATTAATAGTATTCCTTCATAGTTGGGCATTGTTTGCTCCTACCTTTCTTGAGTCTCTTGATTATGACTGATCGAGTATATTGAATGGTGTCCTTGCTATTCTTAGCGTGGGTTGTTGTTTAATTCGAATCTTTCATGGATAATGTGTTCTTTGCTTGGTTTGAGTTAAGAGATAGAATCACTTAGATAAACGATCGTCTTACTGTGAATTTTCCGCACTCTTTTGAGTTTCACGGGATAGACAAAATTATCTTCGTACCTTCTTGTTGATGGTTGCATTAACGAAATTTGCTTCGTCTACGAGATTGCTATCAGTTTCTTGGTATCAGAGCTTGGATTATCTTAGTGATGGTATTAATTGATATTGTCATATCAATTCCTATTATCAGTTTGATTTTCGAGAGATTTCTTCTTAGTTGGGAACTTTATAGTTCTTGGTTTTGGGAATTTCTTGAATTACCACGGAATCCGTTACTTGGTGTGGTGATCGAGCTTTGTGCTACTTAACGAGTAGTACTATCTTTATTTGTTTCAAGGTTCCTTCTTGTTTTGGAATGGGGTGTTGAAAAAATAAATCAAATTCTTGTGAAAACTACGTTTTCAAAATTGATCTTGTCTTTTGTGTGGTTGTGCGAGACTTCTTACACATTTGTTTGATCTTGTGGTGTTATTTTAAGGTCTATGCGAGAGCTTGATGATGGTACGTTGGTATCTAATCAAAGTGGGCGCTACATCTTGAAATTTATCCTTGATTTGCAAGTAGAGAACTGTTTCTCCTATGAGCAAGTTAGTGGATCTTATGTGTTGGATCTTTAAGGAGAGAATTGATGCCAAAGAAGAGCTTCTTGCTCGAGATAGCCTTTTCTTTCTAAAAAGATGTCTTTACATAAGGAGGATTTGAGAGTTTATCTTGTGGTAAATATCTTGGATCTACTCTTTGAAAGGTGAAGCTTAAGGATTTTGTACTTTCTACATAAAGTATAAATGAAAAAGCCTTCCTTCTTGTTGGTTTCATTTGAATCTAATGAGCAAAATGGAATTTATGGATTTTCAATTCATGGAAATTTCATAGAGACCGAATTTTGTTTAATCTTAGTGTCAAAAGATTTTTCAAAATTAACAAATTTTGGTTTTCTTGTTTCTCGAGTTTTACACTTTGAGTTTTAGTCAAAAACTTTCTTTGTCAAGTGATAAGGAATGAATTTTAGTGATATCAGTTTTGGTATCAAAGTGTTTTAAGGTCTTTGAAGTTGAATTGTGCCAACTTTAAGGATTGAAGTCTTTGACTTGTGTTCTAAAACCTTGATTTTTCGAGCATAGGGTCGAAAATTAAGTGAAGTTTTTCTAAAAAGATTTTCTTAATGTATGACAAGAAATCTTATAGGTTTTGAGATGTATTCTCAAAGTTTACATATTTGGTTGTTGGAAGATTGATTTTCAATGGTCACTTATGAAGATGGCATTGTTAAGTCATTGAGTTTTCAGAATGATTTGTGTTGAATTTAGTATTATGAAGCAAATGTCATAATTGCATTATAATTATGGTGTTCTTGTTACTTTATTTGCCATGGATTGTTTTGGAAAAAAGGTGATTTTTGTTAATTCCAAGTACAATTTGGAAAAGGGTTTTTAGAAAGATTCTAAAAGTTGTTGTCCATTTTTGGAAAGTGGTAATTTTCAAGTTTCCTTTTTAAGTGAGTCAAAAGTAATTTTTCAAATTTTAACTATGTGGTAAAAGGTTAATGACCGAAATTTTGCTGACTTTTTGCATGTGTGTGCGTGTGATTTATGTGTTATTCTAAGCCTAGTTGGTTTTGAATTTTAGAGTCATAGTATAGCTGAAATTGTGAAGCTAAAAATTAGGTTTTCCTAATTCTAGTTGAACTTGAATTTTGGTTGTCTATTTGTGTTACACTTGGAGACCTATTTGGTCTTGTATTTGTGTGTTCACATGGCCGAAAATTTTAGCTCTAAAATTAAGGTCATTGAGTCCAAATTGTGTTATGATTTGAGTCCTAGTCGGTTTTGGATTTTTGTGTTCACATTGGCCGAAAATTGCAGCCATTGTTTCCTAATTGTAATACAATTTTATTGTGTGTTTTATTTAAGTCCTACTTGGATTTAAATACTAATTTTTGCATGTGTTAAATTATAATTTCAGTGAGATTATAATTAGAGTTTTAAAGTGAGTCTATTTTCGAAAACTATTAAGATAAGGAAGTCTTATCCTAATGTAAAAATATTTTAGTCTTCTAATACATTTGTGCATGTGTGTGGCCGTGTATTTGAGTCCTTTTAGTAGTAGGGGGGTCGAAAATTTTATCTCTAATAAGTAGGGATGAGTTTTCTTAATTTGTGTCCAAAAAGGATTATGTTTACCTAAGTTTTAGGACTCTATCCTTGTCTATATATATGAGGCCGGTTTTTCTTCTTCTTTATTCCACATTGTCGAGCAAACCTTCATCAATTAGGGGGGGAATATTTTTGAGAAAATTTAGGTCCTATCTTGTAGGAGTTTTCTTGTACAAAAAGACTTGCATTGCCTATAACAAGGAGTGCTGTTTTTCGAAAATTCTCACATCACTCTACTCCAATTTTTCTTCTTCTTTCTTGCTGCCAAGATCAAAAGAGAAAAGCAAGAGAAGCACTCTTCTCTTTAATTCTGAAATTTTTGAGAGTTGTGTTCTTAAAAGCACAAGAGAGTTTTTGTTTTTGGGGAGAGCTTTATTTGAACCTTCCTTTGGTTCTTGGGGGGGTTTTGGCAGAACCATAATTTGGTTCTAGGGTTCAAGGAGTTTTTGTGTAGTAAACAAGGCACATTACTTCTTTTGTTGGTGGATTCTCAAGATTGTTGAGCAAAGATGTCATCCGGAGTTGCTGGTTGTACTCAAATCGCTTCAAAGAGTGTAGAGGGTCGCATGGAGGCTCAAGTACAGCTCATGAAGAGTCAAATTGACTTCCTACATGAAGCTTTGGCCGAGGTTAAGGAGGCAAACCGAGACTTGTCTCAAATGCTTTCAAATCAGCAAGATAAAGCTATGGTAAGTTTTGAGAAAATTGCTGAAAATTTAAGAGTCTTATGTGATCGTTTTGAAGTTAAACAAGTACCCTCGTATGCTGGAATGTTGCAAGTGTCATTGCCTTTGTTTTATGGTTGTCATAGAGAATATGATACTTGGGAAAAGAGCATAGAGAATTTGTTTGTGTTGCTTAACATAGAGAAAGAGAGTGAGAAAATAGCCTTAGCTATAGGTTGTTTTCGTTCTAATGCTTTGAATTGGTGGAAACTAGTTTCAAATATCTATTCGCATTATTGGTTTCGTAACTTGGATGATTGGAATGATTTGAGAAGTGCTTTGCGAGAAAGATATGCTGGTACTAACACCTTTGATGAAGCAAAAGTGAAGTTGCTCAATTGTAAGCGAATGGTAGATCCATTCAATCTTACTTTGAGGAATTAGAGGGTTGTTTCGAGTTCAGAAGTGGATGAGAACGACTACATGTTGACAGACCGTTTCCACTATGGCTTGGACAAGTGTTTCAAACAACATCCAAGATAAGGAGACAATCAAGGCTCTATGAGGCATACTATGCTGCCTTAGAAGTGGAAAGAGAGCATGATACTTCTTGTGGTTGGAATGGTCCAATTGAGGATCAGGGGTTGGTGTTTGGAGCTGAAGATGGAGATCAACGGACTTGTATCTTCCGTACTAAGTGTTCGGTTGGGTGGTCCAATGAAGTTGATTTGGTAATCGACGGTGGGTCGAGTACTGATTGTGTAAGTGAGGAATTTTGCATAGCAAACGGAATTAAGATGGATCCGCATACTAGACCATACAAGCTTCAGTGGTTGAGTGAAGAGATGGTTCTGGATGTTACTAAGAAGACCATGGTATCTTTTCAGATTGGTGAGTATAGGGATGAAATTTACTTTGATGTAATTCCTATGTCTCTTTGTGATATTTTGCTAGGTAGGCCTTGGCAGTCAGATGTAGATGCTTTGCACCATTGCTCTAAGAATATCTTTGTCTTTACTAAAGAGGACAGAAAATATGTTCTTAAGCCTTTGGCTTATGAAGAATCTGAATCTGTGCGAGAGAAAAGACGTAAGATAACCTATACACAAGGGAGAGAAAAAGTCGAGCGAGTGACGCAAGAAAGTAAAAAGGGTCACGATGAGGTAAGACTTGAGGCGAGAGAAAACCATGAAAATAGCGTGGAAAAAGAAATAAATGCACGCAATGAGAGAAAATCAGAGTGTGGTGAGGGTGAGGATTTTACTAACCCTTATATCTCGTTTGTTCCTTGTGCAGGTATAGAGGTTGATGATTCGAGGACGAATCCTCTTAAAGAAGGAGGGGATGATGAGAATCATGTAGCCTTCCATGGAGGTTCTCCTAGTGAGGGGAATGAGTTAGTCCTTCATTCTAGATTTGGAATGCCAAGTTTACTTTGCAGGCCAATCAAGGAAGAAAGGATGGATCTTGACTACCTATGTGATAGGGAGTTGGTTCAAGAGAGCTATGATCAAGGTGATGAGAATGTCATTAACTTTGGGGTGCAAACCAAAGGAGATGAAGACCTCATGGAAATAAGTGCTGAAGAGTATCAAGAGAGTTTGACTCTGTGTGCTCCATGAAGATCATTGATCAAAGCTAGTGAGAAGAGTCATTTAGGTTCATGAATGGACGGCCTATTTGATCCAAGTGTTCAAGATTGAGTCCATTGCTACACAATTGGATAGGGTGCAAACTATCTTAATTGTTTCAAGTGTTTTTCCATTCTTTTGGAGTCAATAAGGTGAATTCTACAAGTTTTGGAGTAAATTGGGGGTTTCTACAACTTAAGGGGCGCAAGACCAATATTCCACTTTTGGAAGGGCGTTCAAGACATTTTACTTCAATAATTTGGAGCTGAATTTCGAGATTAGAGTTAGTCTAAGTCTAGAAGTCAATTTTTTCGAATTTTATCTAGTTAAATAAGTCATGTGGACTGAATTAAGCTAGAGTGTTTTGATTAGGAGTCTTAGATTCCTTCTAGATATTATCCTACTTGAGGATAAGTGATTTAGATAAGGTTTCCTAGATTTTAGATAGAGTCAAAGAGATCAAGTACTCTTCTACTTTTACTCCTTGTGAGATAAGATTAGAGAGTCCTAATTGGTCTTCTTTTTAGAGGTGCTGGCCGAAAAATTCTAAGCCTAGTTGGTTTTGAATTTTAGAGTCATAGTATAGCTGAAATTGTGAAGCTAAAAATTAGGTTTTCCTAATTCTAGTTGAACTTGAATTTTGGTTGTCTATTTGTGTTACACTTGGAGACCTATTTGGTCTTGTATTTGTGTGTTCACATGGCCGAAAATTTTAGCTCTAAAATTAAGGTCATTGAGTCCAAATTGTGTTATGATTTGAGTCCTAGTCGGTTTTGGATTTTTGTGTTCACATTGGCCAAAAATTGCAGCCATTGTTTCCTAATTGTAATACAATTTTATTGTGTGTTTTATTTAAGTCCTACTTGGATTTAAATACTAATTTTTGCATGTGTTAAATTATAATTTCAGTGAGATTATAATTAGAGTTTTAAAGTGAGTCTATTTTCGAAAACTATTAAGATAAGGAAGTCTTATCCTAATGTAAAAATATTTTAGTCTTCTAATACATTTGTGCATGTGTGTGGCCGTGTATTTGAGTCCTTTTAGTAGTAGGGGGGGTCGAAAATTTTATCTCTAATAAGTAGGGATGAGTTTTCTTAATTTGTGTCCAAAAAGGATTATGTTTACCTAAGTTTTAGGACTCTATCCTTGTCTATATATATGAGGCCGGTTTTTCTTCTTCTTTATTCCACATTGTCGAGCAAACCTTCATCAATTAGGGGGGGAATATTTTTGAGAAAATTTAGGTCCTATCTTGTAGGAGTTTTCTTGTACAAAAAGACTTGCATTGCCTATAACAAGGAGTGCTGTTTTTCGAAAATTCTCACATCACTCTACTCCAATTTTTCTTCTTCTTTCTTGCTGCCAAGATCAAAAGAGAAAAGCAAGAGAAGCACTCTTCTCTTTAATTCTGAAATTTTTGAGAGTTGTGTTCTTAAAAGCACAAGAGAGTTTTTGTTTTTGGGGAGAGCTTTATTTGAACCTTCCTTTGGTTCTTGGGGGGGTTTTGGCCGAACCATAAATTGGTTCTAGGGTTCAAGGAGTTTTTGTGTAGTAAACAAGGCACATTACTTCTTTTGTTGGTGGATTCTCAAGATTGTTGAGCAAAGATGTCATCCGGAGTTGCTGGTTGTACTCAAATCGCTTCAAAGAGTGTAGAGAGTCGCATGGAGGCTCAAGTACAGCTCATGAAGAGTCAAATTGACTTCCTACATGAAGCTTTGGCCGAGGTTAAGGAGGCAAACCGAGACTTGTCTCAAATGCTTTCAAATCAGCAAGATAAAGCTATGGTAAGTTTTGAGAAAATTGCTGAAAATTTAAGAGTCTTATGTGATCGTTTTGAAGTTAAACAAGTACCCTCGTATGCTGGAATGTTGCAAGTGTCATTGCCTTTGTTTTATGGTTGTCATAGAGAATATGATACTTGGGAAAAGAGCATAGAGAATTTGTTTGTGTTGCTTAACATAGAGAAAGAGAGTGAGAAAATAGCCTTAGCTATAGGTTGTTTTCGTTCTAATGCTTTGAATTGGTGGAAACTAGTTTCAAATATCTATTCGCATTATTGGTTTCGTAACTTGGATGATTGGAATGATTTGAGAAGTGCTTTGCGAGAAAGATATGCTGGTACTAACACCTTTGATGAAGCAAAAGTGAAGTTGCTCAATTGTAAGCGAAATGGTAGATCCATTCAATCTTACTTTGAGGAATTAGAGGGGTTGTTTCTGAGTTCAGAAGTGGATGAGAACGACTACATGTTGACAGACCGTTTCCACTATGGCTTGGACAAGTGTTTCAAACAACATCCAAGATAAGGAGACAATCAAGGCTCTATGAGGCATACTATGCTGCCTTAGAAGTGGAAAGAGAGCATGATACTTCTTGTGGTTGGAATGGTCCAATTGAGGATCAGGGGTTGGTGTTTGGAGCTGAAGATGGAGATCAACGGACTTGTATCTTCCGTACTAAGTGTTCGGTTGGGTGGTCCAATGAAGTTGATTTGGTAATCGACGGTGGGTCGAATACTGATTGTGTAAGTGAGGAATTTTGCATAGCAAACGGAATTCAGATGGATCCGCATACTAGACCATACAAGCTTCAATGGTTGAGTGAAGAGATGGTTGTGGATGTTACTAAAAAGGCCATGGTTCCTTTTCAGATTGGTGAGTATAGGGATGAAATTTACTTTGATGTAATTCCTATGTCTCTTTGTGATATTTTGCTAGGTAGGCCTTGGCGATCGGATGTAGATCTTGTGCACCATTGCTCAAAGAATATCTTTGTCTTTACTAAAGAGGACAGAAAATATGTTCTTAAGCCTTTGGCTTGTGAAGATTCTGAATCATGCGAGAGAAACGACGTAAGATAACCTATACACAAGGGAGAGAAAAAGTCGAGCGAGTGACGCAAGAAAGTAAAAAGGGTCACGATGAGGTAAGACTTGAGGCGAGAGAAAACCATGAAAATAGCGTGGAAAAAGAAATAAATGCACGCAATGAGAGAAAATCAGAGTGTGGTGAGGGTGAGGATTTTACTAACCCTTATATCTCGTTTGTTCCTTGTGCAGGTATAGAGGTTGATGATTCGAGGACGAATCCTCTTAAAGAAGGAGGGGATGATGAGAATCATGTAGCCTTCCATGGAGGTTCTCCTAGTGAGGGGAATGAGTTAGTCCTTCATTCTAGATTTGGAATGCCAAGTTTACTTTGCAGGCCAATCAAGGAAGAAAGGATGGATCTTGACTACCTATGTGATAGGGAGTTGGTTCAAGAGAGCTATGATCAAGGTGATGAGAATGTCATTAACTTTGGGGTGCAAACCAAAGGAGATGAAGACCTCATGGAAATAAGTGCTGAAGAGTATCAAGAGAGTTTGACTGTGTGCTCCATGAAGATCATTGATCAAAGCTAGTGAGAAGAGTCATTTAGGTTCATGAGTGGACGGCCTATTTGATCCAAGTGTTCAAGATTGAGTCCATTGCTACACAATTGGATAGGGTGCAAACTATCTTAATTGTTTCAAGTGTTTTTCCATTCTTTTGGAGTCAATAAGGTGAATTCTACAAGTTTTGGAGTAAATTGGGGGTTTCTACAACTTAAGGGGCGCAAGACCAATATTCCACTTTTGGAAGGGCGTTCAAGACATTTTACTTCAATAATTTGGAGCTGAATTTCGAGATTAGAGTTAGTCTAAGTCTAGGAGTCAATTTTTTCGAATTTTATCTAGTTAAATAAGTCATGTGGACTGAATTAAGCGAGAGTGTTTTGATTAGGAGTCTTAGATTCCTTCTAGATATTATCCTACTTGAGGATAAGTGATTTAGATAAGGTTTCCTAGATTTTAGATAGAGTCAAAGAGATCAAGTACTCTTCTACTTTTACTCCTTGTGAGATAAGATTAGAGAGTCCTAATTGGTCTTCTTTTAGAGGTGCTGGCCGAAAAATTCAAGCCTATATAAAGGAGGCTTGGCCGAATTTTAGAAGCACCCTTGAGTGGTCATTTTGTTGTCTCTTTTGAGAGTTTTTCCTGTGAGGAATTTTTGTTAAATGGAGTGTCCATTTTTCGTGTCAAGTATGTTTAAACCAAGAGGGTTTTCATCTTGTCTTGGATCTTGTTGATCTTGCAGAAACCATTCTTTTTCAAGTATGCTTCTTGATAGAATTGTTTTAAAACTAAACTTCTTGTTTTCATACTACTTCTAGTAGTTCGATTGATGAGCCTTTCCTTTGGCTTGGTGTTCGAATTTCATGATGAGTGTGTTCATGAGATCCATTGTGGGGTTTGTCCTACTTTTGTTGGGATGAGTTGTGCTTTGGCATAAGCATTTTGAGATAGTGTATGTGTTGCATATCTTTGGTTGGTTATGAAGATTACTAATTAATAGTATTCCTTCATAGTTGGGCATTGTTTGCTCCTACCTTTCTTGAGTCTCTTGATTAATGACTGATCGAGTATATTGAATGGTATCCTTGCTATTCTTAGCGTGGGTTGTTGTTTAATTCGAATCTTTCATGGATAATGTGTTCTTTGCTTGGTTTGAGTTAAGAGATAGAATCACTTAGATAAACGATCGTCTTACTGTGAATTTTCCGCACTCTTTTGAGTTTCACGGGATAGACAAAATTATCTTCGTACTTTCTTGTTGATGGTTGTATTAACGAAATTTGCTTCGTCTACGAGATTGCTATCATTTTTCCTCATATTCCTCATTTAGAAAAATAGGTTTTTCCTCATTTAGAAAAATTTTTGTTTTGATGATAATGAAGATACAACCCATGTGCTCTTCTAGTGTCGGAGCTCTTAACAAGTGTGGAAGTTTTGAAACCATGGTCGGAGTTTTTCTTCCTTCATTAATAGCTCTTCATGCTTATTCGCATTCATAGTATTGAAAGGGAAGTTTCACTCATATTTTTAATTTCATTGTTATGGGTTTGCCGTTCTTTATACTATGGGAAGCTTTGAAAGCCATGAAGAGGTATTTCTATGATGATCTG